GAGAAATCACCTCCAACTTTATACTATTCTTGACTTGTTAAGGTAATCTATCCAATATGCTAATTAGCTCAACCAGTATTTCCAGAGAATGGTTTGCTACATTCGGTAGTGCAAAATGTAATACTCCTTCCAGTAGAAGTTTTACACCAGCCTCCATCTCTGTACTGGATACATTAATTATCTTAATCGGAAGTACGAAGACCAAAATGGTGTGGCCTTTTGTATGGTCGCAGTCTCCTTTCGTAGTATAGAGGTTCTTTGACATTGTTTTTGCAACTTGGTCAAATTGGTAGAAAGACTTGGAGGAACGCACCTAATTCAAAGTCCATATTATGCATTATACTATCCAGAGTGGTACACTGGACGTTGTACATTCCCAGGCGTTTCACTGGCATCGTAGTCGGCATCGTCAGGGAACCATGCCAGTCTTAGCACCACACTAAAACTCGTCAAAGGTACAAGTGAAGCCGATCTTTCGACCAATTGCCGGCTAGAAAATGGTGGTATCTTATTCTGCTCTAAGTTATTCACCAATTTTGTATCCTCGTTTCACCCCTTCATTATCACAATTTCTAGATTTCTTATTTAAATGTGGTATGGTGTGCCCTTTTGAGCGGATGTCATGGGAACTCTCCACACTCCACACTGGCTTTCCCACCCCTCTTTACCCTTGTGCTAGGAATATGGATCATATTCTTCTATACTATTCCTCATTCCTCTTCCTATATGTCATATAAGACTCTCCCTCTTGCCCCGTAGGATCCGCCTCCTACCTTCTTGTTACAGGTATTTCACTCAACTCCTTCCACCCTATCAGTATTACTCGAGGCGCTATTTTCCACATTGCCTCAAACCTGTGATTGAGGATATACTTCCACATCGCTCAATAGGCCCCTAAAATTTAAGGTTCTTAAGCTGGATGGAAGACTAAATTGAGGCTCTAGTCTGCATCTATCCTGCTTCTATCACAAATGCCTAGTCTATGACTTCCTATGCCAAAGCCTTATGTGAACCAACCCATAAGTGATGTGGTTTTACATTGAATCTAATCAAAACAAGTGGATTAGGGCATAGGAAGTAATAGACATGGCACTATGGCCAGAACCACGATAGAATTGACGGAGACTAGAGCTAGTTGGCCAATAGTAGACGTGTTTGATCATAGGCGTATACCATGAGAATTACTCGGGCGCTTTAGTCTTATTTAGTCTGCCATCCAGCTTGAGAACGCTGATTTTTAGGGGCCTACTCAGCCAGGCTGGAGTATGCCCGCCATCAAAGGTTTGAGTAAGTGTGGAAATAACGCCTCGAGTAGTATAGATAGGGCGGAAGGAGTTGAGTGTAATACCTGAGCCCGGAAGGTAGGAGGCGGGTCCTACGGGGCAGGAGGGAGACTCTGATTAGATATATGGGAACAGATTTGCGGGGGGAGGGGGTGAAAAAGCCAGCGTGGGGTTTGGAGAGTTCTCATGAAAACCGCTCAAAAGGGCACCCCGTGCCATGTATAAATAAACAATTAAGAAATTCTGATAGTAAAGGGGTGATACGAAGATACAGGATTGGCGAATAGCCCAGGGCTGAATGAGATATATCACAATTGTTTAGCAGACAATTGGTCAAATGCTCGGCTTCATTTGTCTCTTTTGACGGGTTTTAGTGTATTGATAAGACTGGCATGGCTAACAAAACTTCTGAGAATGTATCACGTCCACAGTCCGACTGTGGAAATTATCATCCATACAATGGTCTCCGGACTAGGTGCGTTCCTACAAGTCTTCCTACCAATTTGACCAAGTTGCAAAAACAAGGTCAAATAACTTAATTGTCTTATTGTTTCACAATTCTTTGGACCTATGCGCATTAATCTTCGCCTTAGATACAAGATAACTTGAATGGTTCCTATTACAAAAGTTTTTTAGCCTCTTCTCACCAACCCTTCTAGTCATCTTATAGACTGCTTCACCCAAACCGTCAGCCATGTCGTTAAACTTATGAAAGTCTTTGTCACTCAGAATCTAAGAAAGAGCATGTTTTTGTCTGATTTTGGTTCTAATCAGATCGTGTAACTTGCTAGTGCTTTCCCTAAGCTTAGTTTAAAGCAAGCCACTAAAAACCGCATCCAGTTCCTGTCGGCCGATCCGTTGAATATCAGTGGAGCACAAAAATGATTGTAAAGGCAGCTGCGTCGGACGGTTAGAAGTGGCGGAACAGATGACGGAGACTGGGAATGAGGTAGGATTGTCTCGAACGCATAGGTTTAAGGATTATGGTATGTCTACCACAAAACGCAAGATAAGAAATGCAATTGAAATTAACAGATTAAGGAATATGTTGAATGTGAGAAATGATGATAGAAAGTAAAAATTAATAACGCTTGATTGATAGACTTAAAGAGAGAGCGGGTGTTGAGCCACAGTCTAAAAGAAGAAGATTTACCTTTTCAGTTGAGTAATGGCTCCAACCAAGTTACTACTCGTTCAATAGACATGTCAAGCTCATTATCAGACGTGTGGGACTAAGCAATCCCATCCGAGCTTCTCCCTGTGTTATTAAACCAGAATAACCCAGACCAACGTGTTTAGACTGGTAGTTGCATAATCTGTCTTTCGCTCGTACAGACTTACAATTCATCAATTCAACCAGGGTTAATCACGGACTAATGCAATCTTGGTCATCCTTTTATCTTTTCTTTTTTTCTTGGGTCTTTAGGCCTTGATGACCCGGTAGTAGCATTAGTTGTAGCAGTAGTAGTTGTTGTGGCAGAAGAGGCAGTAATAACGGTAGCAACAATAACAATAGTTGCAGTAGCAGTAGTATAAGTCCTACTGATAATAATAATAATAATAATATAGGTAATATTTCTAGTAGATCAAGTATACGCAAGAGTCTTTTAATTGTTGGAAAGATCCTTATTACTCGATGTGTCTGAGTTGAAAAAAAGCGGGGGAAATTACGGAATATCTATTCAATCTTGGCACTGTGCATGTGAAAATGACATAAGGTCTATCGCTCTTCAGCTAGGGTTGCCAAAGGTATCGCCATTCTACTTGAGATGATGAACTATACGCTCACGGATTCTCAGCCCTAGACAAGGGGCCGTAATGACCACTTGTAATGTGAACAAATGGATGCCTTGAATTGGTTACTAAAACTGAAGGCAGTTCAGGTGATACGTATAGCTAACCAGTAGGTCAAGTAAGCTAAGGAGATGGGACACTAAAGTACGGATTGATAATTTCAAGGCTGCGAAGCCATCTATTTACATCAACTTAACAGTTACTCTTGATTAAGAACTGTATTCGTCCTGAGTCGCATAAGTTGAATATTGCTGCATTGTGGAGAGTGGGTCCCACGATGCCCGTGAATTTAACTTGGCTTTGCCTCCAAGACGGTTTTCAACTTCAAGGTGGACTGCGGTTTTTACCTGGCCTGGGTGGTGTCGATACCCCCAATGCGATTCGGATCCGGATAATGTGGAGTGTATTTTCGACATGTATCACTACACTATACTGGTACATGTGCCATTGGGCCATAAGGCAGACGATAATTTCAAGGTTAGCCAGGGCTATCTCATGTCACGTTTTGTTATGCGAATCACACTTAAACAAGCCAATATTTTACATTAAAATCGATTACATTACTTAGGTATGAATACCAAGATGGTGTGGCCTTTTTTGTGGTAGCAGTCTCCTTTCGTATCATCCAGCTTACGAATCCTAGCTTTTAGGGGCTTATTCAGAGAGGCAGAGTATACCCGCTATCACAGGTTTGAGGCAATGTGGAAAATAGCGCCTCGAGTAATACAGATAGGGTGAAGGAGTTGAGTGAAATACCTGAAACAAGAAGGTAGGAGGCGGATCCTACGGGGCAAGAGGGAGAGTCTTATATGACATATAGGAAGAGGAATGAGGAATAGTATAGAAGAATATGATCCATATTCCCAGCCCGAGGGTGAAGAGGGCTGAGAAAGCCAGCGTGGAGTGTGGAGAGTTCCCATGACATCCGCTCAAAAGGGCACACCATACCACATTTAAATAAGAAATCTAGAAATTGTGATAATGAAGGGGTGATACGAGGATACAGGATTGGTGAATAGCCTAGAACAGAATAAGATACCACCATTTTCTAGCCGGCAATTGGTCAAAAGATCGGCTTCACTA